CTTCATCCTAGCAATCAATGATATCCATATATAATTCAAAATTAGTAAACTGTAAATAGCATGGCACTGATTGGTAATTGTAGTCTTGAAAAGATGTGAATAACATCGAAGCAATTTTAATCACAAAAAGACATGAATTTGTGTAATTTCGATTTCATGCAAAATTTTAATTTCTAAATAATTTTAGTGTTATATTCCTTCACCAAACATTATACTTTTAAGTGATGGAAGGAATGAAAAGTTTCATAAAGGAATTATGAATTGAATTGATTTTCGTATAAAGCATATGATTTGGAAATGGAGAAAAGTTGTTAAAACTAATTTACTTGTAATTCAAGTTATTATAGCAAAAAAGTTAAAAAAAAAAGAGCAGAATTACTGCTTAATCATCAAAGCACTCACCTTGGTAATACTTTCATAAATGGATAATAAAATCCGATTACCCTAACATTTGCACTTTATTTTATTTTGAGAAAGTTAAACTTTCATTGTGCTATCAATTTACCCCAATGGTTGTCAGGAAATTTTTAACGGTAAAATGTCTTGATAGCCATATAGAACTGTTAGGAAATTTTGTTACCAAAAACGATAGACCGTGATTTAGATGATTGCAATTATGATTACCTGATATGTAATTTCAGGTGATTGAGGGATTTTATAACTGGAAACGATTAGGTGTAAGGAAAAATGCATAAATCATATGGAGAGATTCTATTTCCTTCCGTTAAATTTTTCTTCAAATTCACTTCATTGCATTTAACTTATCCATCATACGAATTCTTTAGTGGCACTATCGATTGATAATATCAATAATTCAGGAATTGTTATCATTTCATTGCTGTCCTTCCTTCGATTTTATCAATTATGTCATCCCTTCCCTCCCTCCAAAATATTCTCAAGAAATAGTGATTGCTTATTTATATTTCTTCTAGAGATTTCCAAGACAATCATCGGTTTAACAAACGATACATTCAACATTCTGTTGACATCAAACACAATAGTGATGAATAATAATACATTTTGTGATATATTGTTGCATGCAAAAAATTGAAAACTGAAATAAAAAGAAAAAAAAAGCAAAGGAATGAGAAATCATTTAGCTCATTACATTTTTTTTTTTTCTTTTGCTTGTTTATTTTTTTTCGTTTCAGTTATCACCCAACCATTTTTTATTACTTCAACATTCTGATTAGATAAATTGCTTACTTGAAAAACAAAAACAAAAAAGGGATAAAAAAAANA